CTGATGAAGAACACGAGGATCATCTGATGAAGAACACGAGGATCATCTGATGAAGAACACGAGGATCATCTGATGAAGAACAAGAAGATCATCTGATGAAGAACACGAGGATCATCTGATGAAGAACGTATCTAAACTCCTTCCTGACGCACCGTGATCAACTTTTCTGTGAGAATCTCCTCGTTGGAGATGAATCCTGATTCCTGTCCAACTCCAGATCTTTGGAGTTGTTCACGGCTCCTGCAGCAGAACCAGGAACACGTCTTACGTCTCGACATTCATCACTTAAGCTTTTTCTGTCAGACTGAGGTCCGAGGTGGAAAATGTTCTGAAAGAACTTCAGAACCTCTGGAGAACCGTTGGTCCAGAACCAGGTGAACAGACGACCGGAGGGGAAACAGAACCAACCGTGGACCGGGTCAGAACTTTTATAAAGTTGTACATAAACTTTATTTTCTTTAATATCAGTTCTGAGTTTACAGCTGTGGTCCACCAGAACCTGCAGGTAGGTCCAAACAAATCACCGATCACCTGTCAATAAATATTATCTATCTCTTATATTTTAATCCTAAACTGTGAAACGTCTCGTACGAATCGAGTTTACGACAAAAAACAACTTGAGAAATTTCCTGCCAAAATGCAGTGTGAACGCTTTTTGCTGAAGAAAGTGCTGAAAACAGCTGAAATGTAGCTGAAATGGAAGAAAAAGTATAAATTAGCCGAAGAAAGCAGAAGAAACTCATATTTGCTGAATTAGGTTTAAATAAGCAGAAATGACCACAATAATTAGGAAATTAGCTAAAACAAACTGAAATTAACAACAAAAACAGCTGAAAAGTATCTGAAAAGGCAGAAAGCTGCTTAACCTACCAGAAGGAAGTGGAAGGAGCTAAAAATATGTGGAAGTAGCTTAAAAAACTAAAATTAGCATAAAACAGCTAAATAGTAGCTGAAATGGCAGAAAAACCTGAAACTACCAGAAAAAAGCTGAAAGGAGCATAACAAGTTGAAAATAGCAGAAATAAGTTAATTAGGCTGAAAGTAGCAAAAATTACCAAGAAAAACTTGAATTTTATCTGAAAACAGCTGAAATTAGCTAAAAATGTTATAAAAGGGTAGCTGAAAAGGTAAAACAAGCTTACATAAGCAGAAAAAAATAAGTTTTATAAAAAAAGCAGAAATGAGCACATAAAAGGGGAACTTATTTGAAAAAAGCTGAAATTAGCAAAAAAAAACAGCTGAAAAGTAGCTAAAAAGCAGAAATAAGCTGAAATTACAAGAAGTGGAGAGAGCACATTTTTGCTGAATTAGGCTGAAAAAAGTTTAAATGAGTGCAGAAAATGTGGAATTAGCCGAAAAAGCTTAAATTTGAATAAAAAGAGCTGAAATAATACAAAAAGGCTGAAACTTGTAGAAATTAGCTGAAAGGAGCATAATAAGCTGAAATTAGCAGAAAGAAGTTAGAAGTACAAAAATGTTGTAGTTAGTAGAAAGAATCTGAAAGGAGCACAAAACAGCTGATTTTTTTTTTTTAATTTACAGCAGGAAGCTGAAAGCAGCTGAAAGCAGCTGAAAGCAGCTGAAGCAGAACAAAATGTGAAAGGAGCAGTTAAAGGTTGTAAACAGAGCTAAAGATCTGAAGGATGGAAAATGAGCTCAATTCATTTTATATGAGAAAAAAAATGTCAGAAAAGGCTAAATATTTCAAAAAGCTAAAGTTGCACCAAAAGCAGGATTGTCCTGAAAGAGCCGAACGTTTTGATTCATGATTTGTTGAAACAGCTGAAAACTGCAGGAAGAGGATTGAGCTGAAAAACATACGTAAGAAAAGTGGATCACAGCGGAGTGGATGCTTCATGAACATGCACACTATTAAAAACATTATTATTATTTTAAGTGATTTATTTTTAATGAAAAGCCAGAAATCCTCTGTCATTTTCTACTTTCTGTCGTAAACTAAAGCTGAGGCTGAAGTTTCTGTAAATCAGGTTTTAGAATCGTTATTTTTTCTATTTTGATGATTTCATGCTCTAAAACCATCAGATATTTAACAGAGCCTCAAGAATGTGCCGTTTCTTTGAGCGCATCTTTGTAAGCGTGTAAATTAAAACAACGTTGGAGGAGTTCTCTTCTGTAAACCGAAGCCTGAACATCAGCCTGCAGCTAAACTTCGCCTGGTTCTGGCTTGGACCCGTTTAAGCATCTCTTCAGAACATTGAAACATTTTGGAAACATGCTTTTAAAGTGACTGGTGCTGGAGTCAAACAGTTCAGGGATATCATGGGGGTGGGGGGTCTCTGGAGTCCCTGGACCCCCAACAGGAGCAGACAGCGGCCTCGTTGTTCCTTTCACAATAAGAGCGTGGTTGTTGCGACTTCCTGTGAGCTCAGATCAGTACAGGCTGTGGATCGGAACCAGCGCGGTGTTTTTGGTCAGTTCCAGCAGTTTTGCTCTCAGTTCTTGTCGCTGCACTTCGACCCAGATGTACCGAGGGTTCTCCACAGGAGGAGGTGCCACCGTCGCCGGCCACTCCACCTTCAGCCCGTCCTCGTCGCGCTGCACGCGGTCCGGCACCAGCGCCACCAGGGTGTTGAGACACATGCCGTCCGTCCTGCCGTGCTGCCTCCCGTTGTGCTGCACGCTGAACACGCCCAGCGTGCTGACCTCGTGGTCCGAGTAGGACGAGGGCACGGCCTCCTGCACCACCATGTTGGCTGCCCAGGTCACGACGTGGGTCTTCAGCGCCGCCGCCGTGGGGAGGTGGGGCAACGGGACTGTGGGACAGGACGAAGGGTTAGATGAGCTCTGAGAACAAACACCTGCCACACGATGAACAAACCGGTCTGTGATTCTGCTCCAGGTCTTAGTTCTGGTTCAGGTCGAAGACAAAGGAACGAGATCAAGACGTTTGAACGGAACTGATAAAAAACATCAACCACTAACTGTCGGGGGACAGGAAGTGGAGCGAGCCTCCAGCGTTCGTTACGTGGGGAGCTGCATCAGTGACGACCTCAAACCTCAATCAACTCCTCTGCTCCGGTAAAAAGGCTCAAGCTGCTTTAAGAAACATCGAGCTCTCAGCGGGCTCTTCAACCCTGTAACAGCGCGGTCGGAGAACTGCACCGAGGCCGACAGGAAAAGTCTCCAACATGCCTTAAAATCACAAGACGACAAAGGGATCCGCACCGCCGTCTCTGGAGGACATCTCCAGAACCAACTGGCTCCACAGAAACCATTCAAGACCTGGCCCGCCCGCACCATCATCTCCTTCTGGGAGGTGCTACAGGGTTCTCAAAGACTCGTAGAGGCAGCAGGGCCAAAGTGGTTCAAAACATCAAGTTCATGCTCAATAATCCAGGTAATAAACCCAACAAAGTTCAGTCAGGTCCTCTGGATGGTTGTTTTGAAACGTTTCGTCTTTCATCCAAAGGACTTCGTCAGGTGCTATTTATAAGACTGAGTTTGTTGTGGCTCCTCGGACTGATGAAGTCTTTTGGATGAAAGACGAAACGCTTCAACACAAAGAAACCGTCCAGAGGACCCGACTGAACTGTTGGATTTATGACCTGGATTATTGAGCACGAACTTTGAAACTAGTGTAAAATTAATCACACTGTGTCAACGCCGGGCCTTCGGAATAATCTGGTTTATAAACGTGTTCTTTACTTTCTCATTTCTTTACTTTAACTTTTTATATTGTGATTTTTCTGCCTTCCATCGTCAGGAACACCAACTCACTGTCGTTGTACGCCTGGTGCAATAAAGCATATTCTGTTGTATAAGAGCAGCCGAAGGTTCAGATCTGTACAAACTCAGCTAAAAATAACATTTCAGTAAAAACCTTCTGGTTAGACAGCTGTTTCCATAGGTAAACAAACACACTTCAGCTGTTTCCATAGGTAAACAAACACACTTCAGCTGTTTCCATAGGTAAACAAACACATTTTGGCTGTTTCCATAGGTAAACAAACACACTTCAGCTGTTTCCAAATGTAAACAAACACACTTCAGCTGTTTCCATAGGTAAACAAACACACTTCAGCTATTTCCATAGGTAAACAAACACACTTCGGCTGTTTCCATAGGTAAACAAACACATTTTGGCTGTTTCCATAGGTAAACAAACAC